GGCCGGGGGGGGGGGGGGGTGGAATATGCTCTCCAGCCAGCACGTCCCTGTCTCTTCCTTTCTCAGAGAAAAGAGAAAGGCTGTTCCAGCCTCACATTTGTTGAAGGATAGGAAACCTAGCCACATTCCTCACGTTACTTTCTCGAATCAGAGACTCGGGGAGGGGGGATATTGATAGAAGCATTTATTATTAGTAAATATTTATTATTTTTAATGTTTCATTCTATTTCATTAATAAATTTAATATTTAATTAATGAAATTAAAGTAAAGATAAAGTTTATAAAACAAAAATATTTTACATAAAAAATTATAAAATTATTGTAATTATAAGATTTATATTACATCAAATTATTGTTTCTAAATATTTCTAATCAATGCTCTTTTAAGAGCAAACATTAATTACAACTGTTGAAACTAATATATATTATATATTTTTATTTATAAAAAGAAGTATTTGCTTATAAAGTAATTTATAAGAAATACTTGAAACTAATAAACAGGACATATAAAGAGTCATACACATAAAAACTATATGTTATAAATTAAAAACTTGATTGTAAATAAATTTTAAAAATTAAGAACTATAATTTAATTAATACAAGGGTTACAATTCTAAATTTAAAAAAATCAAGTAGGGTTTTTAGATTTTTCTATAAATAGAATGTTATGTATTTTATTTTCTATGAGAATATGAAAACAATATACCTAAAAAACAAAGAAAGAGCTAGTATTCTAAGATGTATCAATCTCTTGTAACCATCTAGTAGGTGGTCTAATGGTTAATTAGAGTTTGGAACTAATAGGTTTGCTTCCCCTACAATCTTAGGTTCAAGCCCTATGATTACTAGTATTGATGGTCACTGAAGGCTTGTTTGATTATTAATTTCAGGATTCGTGAAGATTAGTTAAGATATATACAAGTTAACTCGTACACCCTACATAAATAAAAATAAATAAATCTCTTTCTCCTAAAAGGATTTAAGAAATTTTTTACTGGTGATTTGTGTAAATTATTATTAGAGATTAAATACTTAGACGACTTGTGATATACGATTATCTAACCTTAAAGTAATTATTTAAAATTAAAAAAAAAATTATTTTTTAGCTAATCTTTATATAAATCACAAACAACTCTAAATTTATCTAAGTGGATATTTGAGACTCTTAAAATTTTTTATAATTATTGTTTTCATTACTTATACTACTTATAAGTTCTAAGAAACTCAACAGTAGGCATTATAAATTCAAGAATAGAAATGTCATATATCATTAGCTCATATCATATGATTGAAGGATAAATTAAAGCTTTTGATGGTGATATTAAGTTGAAGTCATGGAGTTTATTGCATGCCTTTGAAATGTGTTCTTTACCATATCTTCAATTGCATTTGCTTCTTCACTCCTTATAGCATTTATGGATCGCATCAATTTGTTTCCTATATCATTTACATATATAATAATCAGCACATATAAAGTTTTTAGGCTGAAATTAGTGACCTTGGATGTGGGGTTTTTGATTTACTAAGATCTAAAGACCTTGTAAAAGAGGGAAAAATTCTAATGTACATGAAACCTAGGCTTAAACAAGAAAAGGAGATGAATCGAGGGAAAATGTTAATGGCCATTTGGTTATGCTGCAATAGCCACCATGTGATCACCAATATCCGGTGGCCGGCCAACAATAAATTGAATATTTGCTTGGTCAATACTTCTGCTATCATTTTATAGCAATTTTTCTTCTTCCTTTTCTTCTCCTTCATCTCTCTCTTTCTTAATCTCATGGTGATGGAAATAACTAAATGTCATTTCCTTTCTTTTTGTAAAAGAAGCAAATGGAGGGTCACCTTTTTTATTTTACAATAACACTAACAAAATCTTTCACGAGGCACACAATTATATGACTACCCTTTACCTTTTGTATGCTGGGTGGATTCTGCTGGTGCATGAACGAGAAAATCTGATACTCAAAACATCGGCATAATGTTATTAGCCAGCCATTAGAGATTGATTTTTCTGTGGGGATCGATAAAGATTTCTGCATAAGGAAAGCTGATATAAGAATACGATGAAGACCTTAAGGGATCCTACACACCCGATCAACCAGGCAAATAGAGAGTTTGGATGTTCTTGCTATCGAATCTGCAGCCTTGCCTGCTTCTTTATTGGTAAAGCAAACTACAATATTTTGCTAGTCATTGAATTTGAATTTACAAATTCCTTTTTACTATTTTATTCAAATATGATGATCCATAGACCATCAACATTGTGCGATGCTCAAAGAATTAACCGTTCAGCAAACCCTAATGATATAATAAAGGATACAGTAATTAAATCAAGATCATTTGGCATTGCCTTGATGCTTAAAATATTACTCCCGTGTTTCCCAGTTAACGAGGAAAGTAAAATGTAACTGAGAATTTTCCAGTCATATACAGCAGAAATTAATTTTGGGTCTGAGCTATTAGTTCGTTATGACTTTTAACGATGAACAAAGGACTATAAATACACATTTTGTAATCTTAATTGACATATAGTGAAATAAAGCTTATCGCTCGTATGAATATATATAGATATATTGTTGAACTGTGTTAAATCTAAGAGTTTTTCTTGTATAATATTCTTCATTATTGCTTCAGGTTTCACAACAACAATCAATTTTATTTTTATTTTTATTTTTATTTTAACAACCTAATTAAACACACAGCCATGGTTGTGTTTCAATATTTACTGGCTTATTTAATGTAATTATTTCCTTGTCTCCCGAAAAATTCTACTTTCCTCATGAAATAAAATTAAGAAAAATATAATTAAATTATTTAGCTTTCTATTGTTATTAGATCCCCATGTTGTTGTTAATTTATATACATTCTCACTTTTGTGTAATTTAACATGGCATGTGAGTTAAGTAGTTTAAGAATTTAAGTTAATATTTGATATTGTGATAACTTTTATAATTGTAATTAAAAAAATTATATATTTAAAAAATATATCATTTGTTATGGTTTTAAAAATATATATGTTATTAAAATTACTGGGTTTTGTATCAAAAAATAAAAGATAAATGAAAATCAAGTTATTGGATTGATTTTGATTACTGTTTATTTAGCTTTTAATATTTTTTGAATTTTTTAATTTCTCACTTAATATTTTATTTAATTTTATTTTTTAATTTGATTTGGTCTCTCTATTTTTAATTGCTCTATTTATGTGTTTTATATTTTTCTTGGTTATTATTATTTTTTCAATTTCATCCCTAATTTTATAACTTTTGTTTTCTTAATATATATTTTATCTTGATTCTTTTTATTGCTATATTCTTATTTTTTTTTTAATTTTATCCTTTAAAATTTTATTTTATTTGATTTTATATCTAGTTTTGGTCATCATTCTTTCAATTGGTTTTTTTATTCTTTTTTTAGTTTCTTTTTCAATTTAGCCATTGATTATTTTCTTTCATTTATTTTTATACTATATTTAGTTTGCATTGTTTGGAAGTTTAATTGTTTTATGGTTGAATATTTTACTTTATTATTTTCATAATTTGACATTTTATTATTAAACCCTTAGCTTCATTGTTTGATCTAATTTTATTTTTATTGTATTATCTTAATTTTATATTTCAGGTAATAAGTTAGTTAACTTAATCATAATTGATTTGGATTTTTTTCTCAATATTTTTTACAAAATTAATTTTTTTATAAATTTATTTTTTTATGTTAAATTATTGGCCCATAAACTATATGATTTTGTTTTTTGCTGAGTTATCATGAGTGCATATTAATCAAGTTAACTCGAGTGAACTTGTATTTTTTTATTAAATTTTATTTATTTTATTTTAATTTTTTTTAGATGGTATTTTAAAAAGTTTTTTTGTTATTACTATCTCATGTTACACGGGTAACAAGCTAATTAAATTAGCCTAGATAAACTTGATTTTTTTAATAATTTTTTAAAATTTTATTAGTAGCTTTGTCATTTCTTTACATTTCTGACCGTTTTATTATTTTGAAAGAGGATAAGCCAACTGGAGTTCATTTACATTTTGTTTCTCGATGTTTTGTTTTATTAGTTTTTTTTTTAAATTTTATTTCTCATAACGTGAATTATGGGCTCATGAAATTAACATGTGTTTACTGGAATTTTTTTTATTTTTTTTTAAAGTTTTTTTTACATGTCTTGAACATTACAATTTCTTTTTACGTTTTTTTCTGCAATTTGTTTCGGTCTCGTATCTCATACCGTGTTTTGGTTTGTCTCATATCGTTGTCATCTAAGTATTCTTTTTGTGTTGAAATAATTTGAACTCCTGCTGCACAACGCGGAACACGTATACAGTACTCCATCAAACCAGGAGAGAGAAAAAGCAAAACGTATACAGTACACATTTTGCCCCTCGTATCCCAATCCAAAACTTCATTAATCCTTTCTTTTCTTTTCCTGGACAGAAACTGTGTTAATCTAAAGCTGAGTTTTCTATCAATATCAATTCTTGATCCAAGTAGCAGCCTACTCTAATCATAGCATAGACCCTTTGTAGGAGTTAATCTTAGAAATCAAAGAGATTGAATGTCCCACAAGAATAATGGGACATCCTTCTGAATTCTCGAACATCCCATTTCCCCTCCACCCAACGAAGAAGAAACCCATTTCAGATTTTCTTCCTTTCTCGTGGAGAAAAACAAAGGTCTGTAGATCAACGCAAGGAACACTGAATCCCCATAACCACTTAATAAAGGTGCCATAATATACATTTAATCATATGAAGAAGCCATCCCTCTCTTCACAACATAATAACGAAAGACATGAAAAAAATATTACCAAAAAAAAAAAGAAGCAAAGAAAGACATGCAAGATAAAGAAGACATCTAGGAATCAGCTATTAAGTAGCTTAATTTTCTTGGTCTATAATCAGAAAGCAACCTCCTTGTCCTGATTAATGAGATAATTCCAGCCGCCTGGAACATAAAGTGCATAAATATTTTCTCTTCATCTTGTAGCATATGGGCAAGAAACAGAACCTCCACCGGCCTTCAAAATCCACGGCTTGTACTTTACCTCCACAGTGAGGACATGACCCTGAAGCTTGTTGCCTGCCTAAATCCCTCTCTTCTTCGTCACATAAAAACACAAAACACATCTCTGCAGACTCTGCTGTACTGTCTCTTTCTTTCCTGCCTAAAGCTAATTAAGCTCGCTTGATGATGATCCGAGATTGATACAGTTTGTTTTGAGTTTCGAAGTTGTGAGTGAGAAGAACAGAGGAAGAGAGTTGAAGAATTCATTAAGTGCCAGGGTGTATTTATAGGAGGATAGGAGATTCGTTGGCTGATATAAATGAGCATAGATGTTAAACCGGTCCGGTCCGGCCGGATGGTTGAGATTTTCAAATTTTGTTTCAAAAATATTTTTGAAAAAAATTAAAATATTTTAAAAATTAATTATTATAATAATTGTAATTAATATTATAATAATTCTTGCTTTTGTAATTTAAAAAAGAAATTTTTAAAACATTATAATTGTAGTTTTTTCTAATTAATGAGAAAGCTTTGAGGGTGACATATTCAAAATTATAAACCAAATTAAAATCAGTTCTTAATTTAACTTGCTAAAAATTTTATTTAAAAAATCTATGTAATTTAACTATTTTTTTAATATTTATTTGTTTATGTGTTTTAAAATTATTTTTTAAAAAATAATTTTTTTTATTTTTTTATTTACTTTAAATTAATACCTTTCAAGTTATATATTAATATAAAAAATAACTCCTAAACAAGTCAACCTGATTCAACCCCATTAGTCAAGAGTCGACAATTAAGAAAAGAAACGGACAAAGAAACGCTCCGTTTAATCCTTTCGCTTTTTGGAAACAAAACTTAAAAAGTCCATGGCTGCTTTTGTTTCATGCTTATTTCCCTCTGTGCCCTTTGAATAATGCTTTGAAAATCATCGGGTTTACATTACTTTTATTGCGCGGGGCTTCAAAAGAAGGATAGAAAGAAAGAAAGAAAAACTAAAGCTTGGAATGGACATTACAACATATTTGAGGTTTATAATTAATATGTAACTTCATTGGTAATATTTCGATTAACCTTTTCTTTACTCTTTTTTCTTTAATTTCTTTAATAGCTATTTAAATTATGTTTAAATTGATTAAATTTATTAGTTATATTAATATAATTTAAACTCTATAAAGTCAAATTGAATTAATTTTTTTAGTAAATTTTTTTAAGCCAATTAAATTGATTTTTGACCCATCAAATCAACTGAATTATATTAAAATAACTCTTATATAATTTAATTTTATATTCAAGCTAAAAAAGAAGTTGAAAAGATGTTTTTTACATTAATTTTATTTTCAAACTTATTTTGCTACTTCACTAAAATATTTTTGAATTTTTCTACTTAACTAGGTTATATCATAACAACTTTTAAACTAAAAAAAAAAAGTTAAATCAAGAGATTTTCAAGTTAATTTATTAAATTAAATTTAATAAACATGTTAAATAATTTTTTACGGTTTAAATATTTTTTTATTATATTAAAAAAAAATTATCCAGCGAATAACAAAAATATATAAACTAGTGATATATTGCTTTTATCATATGATTCAAATTTGAGCATATTTATAATAACATATCATCCATTTTATCATGGGATCTACAGGACAACTAATATCACTTGAGGCATTGCCGGGGGACAATGAGATCTTAGTTATGTGCAGTGAAATAAGAGAATTTGGATTTCAAGCTGTCTACGAAGATAAATTTAATAGGGAAAAAATTACTTGAGCATAGCTGTAGTTTGCTTTGACACCTTGTGAGGTTTGATGTTTAATTCGGTCGCACATGTAGATTGGGTCAAAAAAGATGAACTGCGGTCAACAAGGTGGCCGAGAAGCTCACGGCAGCCTACCTGCCAACTGAAGTAAGTTGATTTGATACTTAAGAATAACATATTTAATTTCTCAAATAAAAAAAGGAACAGAATACTTAAGATAAATATAAAATTATATGTTTAATTCTTTCAGAAGAATATAGGGGATTTTTCATGCTTGCACAGTAAAATGAATCTATAATGTAGTTCTTTTCACTTTTCTATTTAATCAAGAACCAATTATGTATATCAAAATTATTTCTTTTGTGAAGATTGTATTTCTTTCATTCCAATCTAGAATTTAATATAAAAAAATGGAATTTTCATAAAATTTTAAATTTAAATCGATCCGAAGAAGTGGAATCCTCCATGCAATTCTTAGTTTTGGCATGCGTAACTTGTTGTATTATTTTTTAAATTAGTTTCAAAGAAGGTATGACGTCATCAATGAACTAAACAACTTAGAAAAGTCATTGAACCACGTTGCAAATACTTGGTAAAACTTGTTGAAATCACACGTCCCAATTGGATCTTAGCCATCGCATCACCTCCTCCGAAATACAAAACAGAATCAGACTCCCCAAGCGCAACAAGTAGCCATCAGGCCCATCTCCTAGTCGGTCCCACGATGCCTTAAATTTCTCGGTCCCACGATGCTTTAAATTTCTCGGTCCCACTTTAACAGACCTTGACGGCCAAGATTCAACCGATCAGTGACAAGGTAGCGAGCTAAGTGGTTCTTCTTTTCTTGGTTGTTCTTCCTGGGCCAAGGATTTTCCAGGAGGTTTCCGGTGCAGCCCCGTGTGAAAGGAGAAACCGCGCCCCTTGTTTTTTTGAATAGAAAACCACCCGTACCACTGGCTTTCAGAGTTCAGACTGATGTGAGGGTGTGATTTGCGCACACTAGAAAATGTTTAACGTGTGTACGGAGTGTTTCCCCCACATTATCACTTTCTTAACTACTATAATTGAAAAAATAATATTTTTCACTTTTTCACTGCATGCACGACCATCTGAGTACATGCACGACCTGTAAAACCTTCGGTTTCTAATTCCGTATGAAAAGTTTGCCCAGTGGGCTAAAGGAGTGCGCCTGCGGGGCTGGAACATTGATCTCCCCTTCACCTTCACTGTCAAAGAGAGAACCACCGCAAAACCACTATCTCAAGTTCTCAACCACCAAGCCAGGCAAGGCTCGCCAACGCGCCAGCAACAACTGCCCCTTTCACCAACCTCCAAAAACCAAAGCTCCACGCAATAACCTCAGCCTCATTTGTAGCTTCGGGTCTAGAGAGGGAGTTGTTTTCCCAACCCGACCAAACCAAATGCAAATCCTGCAAATATTGAAGAGTCAGAAACAGAAAAGGTTTCCGTTGTGTGGCCTTTGGCACTTACAAGCTGTAAATCTGAACCAGCAGGAACCGGAGAGAAGCTTGATCCAGAGATGATTTTCTAGAAGAATAGAAGGTTGGATTTCACATAATTAATTGTTAATTAATTAACAACCCGAAGCTACAAATCAACCCACACAGGTCCATTTCCTTCTTTCTCTCGACGTTGACAGAAGCCATAGATTCGACCACTTTTTCCTCTCCACTGGTAATTGTAGAAGTAGACAGTAGGGTAATTCGACCCTAATAATGCATGAGAGAGAGAGTGGGGGCGGATTATGACGGTGAAAGGGTGTTAATTGGAGTCTGTTTTGTACTGTGATGGTTTTTATGGTTAAGATTTAAAAATATTATTTTATTAAAAATATTTTTAGTGAAAATTAATTTAATATTTATATATATTAAATTAAAATTAAAATTAAAATTAAAAAATAGTTTAATATATTTAATTAATAATATTTTTTACATTAAAGTTATAAAATAACTATAAAATATATATATTAATATTAATAATTTTATTATATATAAAAGTTATTTAATAAGAACTCTAATTTTTATATTTTTTTGAATTTACAATGAAATTTAATAAATATTATCAAAAATAAAATTAGAATTAGAATAAATTTAATGAATAAATTCACTGCACGTTGAACAGTTACTAAATATTATAAAGAATATTATTTAAAAAAATAGTGAATAATTTGAGTAAATTAATAAATTTACTGATTTTTTTAAAAAAATAAACAGTACAGAAAAAGTACAAAACAGCAGAGAGGTGCTTTCAATTTAACTACATTTTAAATGCAAATTCAATCAGCTTCACCAGAAATAAATTGCGTTTTGAAGCATTACCGAACGTTTGCTTTGGTGTAGTTGCTTCAAACAGACCCTTCGAAGGACACCAGCTTTTCTTTATAGGTCTAGCGTGCGCACCCAGTGATCGAATTCATAGAGTAAATGCACGACTAATAAGTTGCGCAAGTACTCCATGCGTAGCCACTGTTTTAGGTGCTAGAGTAGGACTGTTTTCTTGCTAGAGTAGAAATTATTACTAGTTTCAAAAATAAATTTGTCCAGTCTGTAGAAAAAGCTCGTGTACTTGTGTTTGTCTCCTAGTTCTGAAGAGAAGATGTCCTTCTAATGGTTAATGACCAAATTCATCTTCAACAGGAGTATCTAGCTAACCTTGGTTAAAGATGATTTGCCTACACGATAAATTTTGACTATGTTTGAAATTATGATTATTATTGTTTTTTAAATAATTTTTTATGTTAAAATATATGTTAATATTTTTTTTAAAAAAAAATTATTTTTAACATCAGTATATTAAAATAATTTAAAAACACTAAAATTATATTAATTTGAAGTTAATAAAAAAATAAAAAAAATTCAATTTTTTTCAAAAATACTCTTGAAATACAAAAATAAACATGCCCTTCATAACGAATATCTCGGTAGAGGTGATATTGAAGGATTTTTCTTTCAATGAAATCAGATTTTTTTAAAAAAAATAATAAAATTAGAATAAAACTCTAAAACAATAATATGTTTCAAAAATTTTTTTTAAAAAAATAATATAATTTATCCCAACTGCTATTTAGAATCATGATTTCAAAGAGAATAGATTTTGAATCATCCTTTTAATATAAACTGCTATTCTAAATCATAATTTTAATAAAAATCATGGTTATAATAGATATATAATCACTCTTTTATCATCTATAATTATCATTCCTTCAAAAGAAAAAACCCAAAAAAAATTCCAGAAATATTTATTCTTTTTTGGTTTTGAATTATTTTTTTTATATTTTCAAATTATTTTAATGTATTAATATTAAAAATACATTTAAAAAAGAAAAAAAATATCATTTTAATATATTTTAAAAAAAAACTTTTGAAAAAAAACTATATTAGTAATAACATAAAATATATTTTTTATTAAAGAAAAAACAAATTTATAAACATAAAAAATGAAATATTTCCATATTGCAAACCCAAACACACGGTCTTCTAGAGTTTGACAATCATGT